CCGTATGAAATAACTGATATGATCGTAAAACACTAACGCAAACAGTTCACGGCGGCTTTGGTGGCAGCTCAGTTCTGCTATAGTTTCGGTTGAGCTAGATCCGCCCTTTACGTTTCCAGAAGTTACTTCTACATTTCCGCTCGTGTTGTGTTTGGGACGACCGAAGTTTTGCAAAGAAAACTAAGCATGATAGAGTGAGCTGAGCAACCAGATCAATCGCATGAAAAGATCCTTAAGCTCGAGCACTTAAACTGTGTTCATCTCTAAAAGAGTGAACGATCCCGAGTTGTACAACAGGAAAAATGTTCTTCATTAATTTCTATTTACTACCGCGCTACTCAACTAATGAAGAATCCTCGTTCAAGGTGGACTGCAATGGAAATCGTGAGAGATATTTCGGAGCCAATCTCGAATCTGTTTTCCGGGGCTGTAGAATAATTTCTTTGCGTAATGACTAAAGCTTGTTCGCTTCCATAGCAGCCAATCTACTGCTTCTTGTGGAGCATATCCTTTGCCGATGGGCTCCCTCTTCATGGTAATCGCTTCCTTTTATTCCGGACATCGGCATTCAGTGATACATGTATAAACCTTACTGAAAACTATTGCATTTGATAGCTCCGACAGCACTTCAAAACATGTATGGATTTTTTGTCATTTTTCGTGAACTATTTATGCTAGACACGTGAAAATGAAGCACTTGAATTTTCTTTTTGCAATCATTCCTTCTGCTTTGAAGAAATCGCCAATGAGACTTCTAACTTTTGTGAACCTGGCTGTACCGCAAATCTGTAAGAATCCTTTCTGCAAGAAGAAAGTTTAGATGTAGTGTTCTTGTTGCCTCTGTCAAAAAACACCTCAGCCAGCCACAAAATCCATTTTGATAACGTGCAAGCATTACGATGTTCACACTTTTAGTTACTGAAAAGGTATTTTGAAACGTTTACGTGCACTGGGAAAAATCAAAAGAGGGAAATGCTTGCCCCACGAATTGCTCACCTCAGACTTGGTTCGCAGAATGAGAACCTTCTACCCCCTCCCCTGTGAGTCACCAGAAATACCGTCTTCTGATCATTACCATTTTATCAAGTCGATGTAGCAGAGCCTAGCTGGCAATCGATTTCAAACCTTCATGGGGTGCAAAAATTTGCTGGACTGATTACTTTGAAACCATAGTCGTATCATAGTGGCGAGATCACCAATTTGCCAGAAAGATGGAAAGAAGGTTGACGAAATTCGAAAAAATACCTCGTTTGAGTAGCTTGCATCACATATCCACAATAGGCGTTTTGGTGCTCAAGAAAAATGGCCCGGTTACCACACGCGCGGTCCGGGGATCGAATCCTAGGTCGTGCTTCGTCCGGGCCAACCATGCCTTTCATCAATTCCTAGTCGATAAATTATAGCATCTGACGACCACTAGTCATATGTACAGCGTAATTCTATCACTGGTGGCAACTTTAGAAGTAAACCACGGTTTGAAAAACCGCGAGGATATGGAAGCCCAAGAACCTGCTTGAAAAGTGTTGTCAGTAAATCAAGCATAACCATTGCAGGTCTCCCTGGCAGGTCGGTTCTAGCTTCGTCGGTAATCGGCACACAGGAATTCAACGATTGAATCCATTCGACACCAATCGAGGTTCTGTTATTTGCCACTACTTGGTACCAAAATACCACCTAATTACAGCGAAGCAATTACTGGGCAAGCCTTTGTAAACCGAGCGTTCTTTCGGCTGTTCTTTGCTGCTTTAGGCCCTGTGAGCATATGTCTACAATGTTGGCCATGCTAGTCTACTCTTCTGTTCAATTACACATATGAAATGTCTCAGAGACTTTCACATAGCATCCTTTTGCAAATTACATTAAGAAAAAGGAGGAAGAAAGTCTTTCAGGGCTTTGCGATCTTCAAAATGCCTTGTGTGTCTTTCCTGCTCGACCTATTTCAATTTGTCTCATTGCCAACCTTTGCCTTTTTTGAGGGTTCTAAACTTTCCTTCGTACCTATTATGGCAGTCAATTATTAAGTGATGAATCAATCATTTGAACAATGTTCATGTTTCCAGCCCAAAGGCATATTCCACACCCCGTTTTTTTAAGCAATCTTCTACTACTGTAGATAGTGTCAATTTTGCAACTCTTAATTATGTAGCACAAACGCCAAGAGCTCATTGCTTTGCTCCGGCTGCGCACCCTAGCTCTCTGAGCTCTCTCACCTCTTCTGCGCGCATTACCTCTTGATCGTAACTTTTGTTCATAACTGAAAAGGGTTCTTTGCCTCAGTGTTCTCTAAGGATTCGTAAAGTCCTTTTTCTGGCGGTCCAATTTTCGTCCCTACTTTCATTTTCGAGCGCAGCATGCACACCCACACAGTCGTGGAATGTATTTTCAAGTT